TTTTCTTGGCTTTTGGTCCCTAAAAGACTGACTAGTGCTGTGCTTACGGACTTTAAAATAATTTATTATGCTCTCTGGCCTGGGGCTGGCAACTGGATTATGTGACAGGTGGTCCTGAAAGACATCCAAGCCCAGGAAGTAACTGGCCCCCACCACCCCCCTGGACATTTCACTGGAAGTATGTTTTGCGGTTCAGGATCCTGAGATGCAGACTGCCCTGGCATGAAAGGGATGATTGAATGTGATGGTTGACATTTTTTCATTAAAATGTTTCCCCAGTGAGAAAAGAGTGCTTTAGAAAGGTGGGGAAAAAAAAAAAAAAAAAAGGGCGGGGAGAGTTAAGTGGGGAAAAGCTGAAAAAAGGTGGAAAAAGAATGTATTTTCATTACACCGTAGGCATTTCAGTTCATATATTTCAACTTGCCACTCACCATCACGGGCACAACTCCGCAGCCAGGCTCCTTTTTCCCGAAGGAAACGGAAGCACCCGAGGGCTGCGGAGCTCGAGGTGCCGCTGCACGGGGAGGAGCTCGCAGGAGCTGAGGCCCGACGGGCACCTGGGGCCAGCAGGGAGCACCCGAACTGCAGCTCCCCAGTGTCTCCTGTTTAGGACCCAAATTTAGATAGTTCCCACCCAAGCATCCAGCCACTGTTCTACAGATAAAAATTAATCGTTTTTTTGACCAAGCTGCTCCCTTCTCCTCTAATATTGACCCGTTGTTTCCTATTATTTTATTGGCTTCTTACCAAGGTGCGTGAAATTCATTCAGTACAGCCCAAGAAAGGGCATAAATAGATAAAATCCTTAGAAACTGAAATTTTAGCCAGCGGCTGGAGCAGAACGGCTTAGGGGGCTCCAGCTGAAACGGAATGACGTGGGGGAAAAGGCTTAGGAACCTGGAGGTGCTGAGGGGAACAGTCAGTGGCAAAGGTGCTCTGATGCACTTTGTTCAAGTCAAAACGCCAAAGAAATAGAGGTGGGTTGTTGTGGGTTTTGTTTTCATTTTTAAGTTCTAGAAGGCACAGGTGGCTGATGGAGAAGATGGGACAACAGGGATGTTCCAGTCTACAGTCCTGCTCTCTTGTCTTCATTCTCTCCACTCCCAAAACTCATCTCTCCCTATCTTACTCTTTGTGTCCTGCTCACCTTGCCACGATCCTAGAAAATGTTGAATAACACCGAAAACCCATCCATCTCCACAGCAAGCGGAAGGGCTCATATACACTATTCTGTTTCCTCCAGAGCAACACTTTCATCTATGCTTTACTGTAGTATTAATTGACTAGAAAGAAAACCCACTTGTGTAAAACCTGACAATGGCTTTTATTCTTTGGGGAAATTTTAGCAGCCTGTAAAAGAACAGCAAGATCCCTTCACAGAGACACAAACACACATGCACTCTTTGAGCTCATGGAGAGGAAGGATTTGAATTAGCTGCTTTCATGGTTTGAAAGCCTAATTGCCAAAGAGACTTTTGGAAGCAACCATGGAGACGTCTCCCTGCAAGAAGCAACACAATAGAAACCACAGGAAAAGAATAAGAGAAAGGGGAAAAAAAATGAGCAGAAAGAAAAGGGCAGACACTGAGAACAGGCACCAGTGCAGAGGAGCAGAGGTGCTGCTCCCACCCAGCAAGCACATTTGGGGGCTGCCAGCATTTTCCATCAGGAATGTCACCAAGCGCCCCGTCCCCAGAGAGGCTGGAGGGCTGTAGCCACACGAGGGAGTGAAAAACATGGTCACGTAAGGTAGCTCCTGAGGAGGAGCAGGGGCAGGTCTCCAGTTTGCTTCCCCAGGCTTTACAGACAGAACCTCTCTCAGCCCCTTGTTCCCATTCAAGAAGACTTTTGTGCATCCGCCGTTCCCTTAAAGTCACCACGGTAACTGCCCCTTCCCCCCATGCTCCCCTCCACAGACCTCACCTCTCCGCTCCTGGGAAAGCATCTTTATATTTACAGAGGTGCCCAGTTTGGAAAGACAGGACAACAGAAAGCTGAGAGCAAGCAGGAGCTAGAAACACTTCAGATCTGTCCCACATCCCAGCCCTGCCTTGCCACAAAGCCACCGAGACGCTTATCTTCAAGATAAGGACCTCAACAGAAGCGCCTGTAGGGCTCTTCCCTGGCTCAGAAGTCTTTGGATCATTTACCGGGTTGTTAAAAGATAAACAGACTGCATTCCATCCTTGGGAACAGTGTGACACGGTCAGTCGGTGACTCCATTGGCAACCGGAGCAGCCAGGTACGGAGCTTGACACCAACCGCCCCCACCTGAGCGGCCCACCCGCCTCCCCATCACAAAGGGCTTACTGCCTAGGATCTAACCGTCAAAACCGTACACTTAATTATGTGTCAACGAACAGGCTCGCACAGACAGATTAGCTTATTCCAAATATCATAGTTAATTAGCCGGCTTAACCAGTAAGCAGCTTTATTTTTCCTTAGCTGACACTTGGAAGAGAAAAGGGAAATGGGTTACCTTGATGTAAGGAGAAAGTAACATCTGAGAACGGTAATACAGATTGCTTTTTTCCCCCAGTTTCGTACCCTTGGAATATTCTTTTTAGCTCTGTCACTTTATATTTATTATTAAAACTATGCCAAGTCTGTGACTACATCTCAAATGTAAACAGTGCACTTGTATACTCTACACCAATTTATGGAGTGGGTGCCTGTATGATGGATTAGTAAAATTCCATAGCGTGTTTTAGGAATCAAACACAGGCTCTTTATCAGAGTGTTCAGAGACATTAAGTGTGTTATAAATTGACTTGAAGCATAAAAACCAGATTAAAACATTCATTTTTGGTCTCGCTATGTTTTTGATTCAAGCACATTAGCTGTCTTTTTTTTCCCCTGTACGCTTTCAGAAGCATGACTTGTTCATAACAGGCTTAGGCAAGCTGGTGTTGGGAAGGGACTATGACCCTTTCTTTTATTAAATATCAAGAACTAGACTTCCCCTGCCAGGAATCTGCATCAGTACAAGCACTGGATTTACTTACACCAGAGGAGTCGACCACAAAACTCAGAGCACGCCGAGGAAAATCCAACTGTTTCCTTGAGCAGCACGTAGTAACCATCTAACGGGGGCAGCACCAGCCAATCCCCACCACCGACTCTTCCAGAGCCTCCAGGTCACGCGTCAGGTCACGCACTGGAAGCGATTTCTGGCAGCCAGAGAAGAGGTTGGGGTTGGCTTCCCCCCGGGAAAGGCGCCGCTGCCATCCCAAACGCCCTCCTGCCCCTCGCCTCTGCCCTCCACAAGCCACACCCTGGTTTTATCTGCTCCGTAAGGATTTATTCTACAATCCCCTGGCCATGGGGCAGCAACGGCAGCAGGGACCTGTGAAGCAAGAACAAACTTCTCAGGTCTCCCAGCTGAGGGTTTGAAGCCCGTTAAGGACTAAAGCACGATACCTGCGGAGACTTGCCCATGGAAAAACAAGTATTCTTTACTTAGGTCCTTCAGGAGAGCACACGCAGCCAACAACTGCGAGGGAAGCAAGGTGATCTTCCTGCAGCTCATTGGCACCACATGTTGGATTTTCCTCTGTGAAAACATAACAGGGCAGGAGGTGCAGGAGGGATGAGGCTCGGGGCCGTCGGCGGAAGCCTCTCCTCCCGCAGCCGTGCGGCGTTACCGCTTTCACAGGCGTGACTCGCAGACTTATCAGCGCTGCGGTCTGAGGATCCCTCTCGGGCCCTGGGATCCAGGACCAGACACAACAAACTCTCACCTGTAAATGTCAGCCCTCGCGCTAGGCGAGCTTAGGTTTCCCCTGGACACAGAGATGGGAGATCAAATGTCAGAGTCACTGACGGCAGGAAATTAAAACAGTTCAGATGGAAGCCAAAATAATATCAAAACATCTTTTTTTTTTTTTAATGAGATCTGAAGCTTTATGCAACACAAATGAGTCATAATTTTCAGGTCAAGGGAGTGGATGGAGGTTTTGAGGGAGTTCTGATTTCAGACTCCTGAGGCAGGAGTGGCCACTGTGGCCACCAGTGCTGCAGGCAGAGCTGGGGGGTGCCTGGGGATGGTCGCTGGGCAAATGCAGCCGAGTCTCAGAGGAGCCCGAGAGCCCCCACAGCATGAGAGCGCTGTCAGGGGAGGGGGAAGCTCCCCCCGTGACAGCCTCTGCCTCTCCCAGGCGCAGGGGCAGCCGCATCTGCCCACCTCGTACCGGAGGGAAAGCCCAGCGTGTCCGTCGCCCCCACAGCCCACCCCGCACAGGGACCAGCATTCCCGCTCCTCAGACGTTCCGTTACTGCTG